ACGGCAGTATCAAAATTGGTTTGCCAAATTTCGTTCTCGTATTTTTTTACTCAAAAATGAAAAGCGCTCGGGTTGTCAGTTGAAGTTGAATACAAAGGAATTGTCTACTGTTGCTTTTACCCAACCGAACGATCAATTCTGATGCCTTGAAAAACGGCAGTATCAAAATTGGTTTGCCAAATTTCGTTCTCGTATTTTTTTACTCAAAAATGAAAAGCGCTCGGGTTGTCAGTTGAAGTTGAATACAAAGGAATTGTCTACTCTTGCTTTTACCCAACCGAACGATCAATTCTGATGTCTTCATTGAACATTTAACAAAATTAAACAGCGCAGTTGAAGCGGTGAAATATTCCATTATTGACATCATATATTTTTGGACACTTGGCCAAAACTATTGGATCCTGGTTGGGATGTTTAGCCACATCCACCATCTAGTTCTGACTTTGCACCTTTTGATTACTTATTGTTTTCATCTTTACAGAACTTCTTGAATGGTAAACAATTCAATAGTTATAATAGTGTCAAATTTTACCTGATTCAGCTAATAAAAATCAAAAGTTTTAAGGAAGTGGAATAATAGTGCTACTTGAAAGATTGCAAAAAGTCATTGACCAAAGTTATTTAGTTCCATAAAAAATGTCTTTGATTTTTTATTATTTTAAAAATCCGCACTTATTTAGTTGCTAACCTGATATTTTAAAGCTTAACTAAATACAGAAATTCGTATTCGACTATTTGACATCAAGATCTCCTAAATGCGTCATTTGAACTTACTGTTTTCGGTACTCTTTTCTTTTCATTGGGTTTCATTGACGTTGTATTTCAACAATTTTATCTTTACACGTGTTCTTAATTTGATGACTAATACTTTATGCGCATAATTATTGTTGACGATTTTCCCCTTTATTTTGTGCAATTTGTTATATTAAGCTTCAGTTCACTATAAATAATTCGAACTTGCTTATCAAATCTAGTATGTGACTCATGTGGCAAAAATGTTTTTGTTTTCTGTTCTTGTTTGTTAATTGTGATTAAGTTTAACGTATTATGAAATTATTCGAACTTAATTATAGCGTCTTAGAAGTAAAATAAACAAAAATTTGTAAGTGACTGTACAACAGAGATTTGAACATTTTTCTCATTAATCATGCCAGCAATGAACCATTATTAAGGTTTAAAAATCTTGGTGCCTATAAATATTTTGAATAGGTTTTATTCGCCAATAATATACGATAGGCAATTATATTGTGAAAACCAACCAACAAATTATATTACGAGAAATAATACATATCAAGCAAACTACTATATCATTATGTTCAGTAAAACTCCAAGCTAATTCATCATTGTAAAAATGTGTTTATGGCTGTTTTTTCAAAAGGTTGTAACCTGTTCCTTTTTACTCCTTAGGCGCGGTAAAATGGAACGGCCAGGTGGCAAACAAGTCCAATGTCTTATTTTAATTTTAAAGGGATTTTACAAAATAATAACTACATTATTCAATCAGTGAAAATATGAATTTTATGGATGCATTTTTTTGCCGAGATAATACTGTAAATAACTTTAACTCATTAGCAGAGTTTGAATAATTCTTCATTTGATTTCTTTGGTAAAAGTTCAGTTGGTCCTTTTTACCCCACCCAGGTGTAATCTATTATGAAGATTATATAAAAAACGGTTGAATCTAATTTAAAATTAAAAATATATTTTATAAAACAATTCTTATTTAATTATATTAAGATCTCGCAAATTAAGCAACAATGCTCAAGACCATAAAAACTAACAACGAAAGAAGAGACTTTTGTTATGGATTTTCTAATATAGCTGTTCAAAAAAATATAAATTTTAAATCTAAACAAAAATGCCATAACTTTACATTTTTGCCATTATTGATATACAAAACTTCGTAAGTTTGAGCCGCCGCTCTAGTCAACCTGATATTATGCAGTAGTAATATCAATTTTCACTTGAAATTATATATCAAAATTATGTTTCCAAATAAAAATAGTCCATTTTGGACACTGCGATGTGAAATGGCAATGAAAAATCGCAGTTTAACACGTTCACGCACGAATAAAAAATCATAGATTTCAAAATTATCATTTAATAATAATAATATGAATTTCAAATTATTCAAGTAATAAAAAATACATACATTCAATATTCTTTGTTTATCAGCATTATCATAATAAATGCATTTTTGTCAAATTTTAAAAATTATAAGCTTTAAGGTATTGAAAATAAATTATAATTTTCAAAATTGTCTTATAATTTTTACATTTTTTCCGTCATATAAAAAAATAAAAGCACATATTCAATATTTTACAACATTTACTTTATTTAATTTTTTTTTTCAAGTATGATAAAAATCTAATTTGTTGATACAAAAAATATAAGCTTGAAAGGTTTAAAATTATTTATAATTTTCAATAATTTAATTTTTTTATAATTTTTTACATAACGGAAACTTTTGGCAAAATACCTTACAATACAATTTCCGTACGGTTACGGAACCCTGGCAAGGTCTTATAATTTTTTTGCGCATTTAAATTAAATTTATATAAATTTGATAAATTTTAAGCTTAATTTTAATTTAAATTTTTACATTTTTCCGCCATATAAAAAAATTCATATTCAATATTTTTCAACATATACAAATTATTTTTTTTTTTTTCAAAAATCTAATTTTACAAAATAAAATTACATATATAAACTTGAAAGATCCGTGAATCAATAAGAAAGGTGATTTCTTACCTTTACATATTTATATAATTTTTACAATTTTGGCATCATTAATATACCATATCCAACACGCATTCAAGTAAGGTGACCACACGGCCGGGAGTTTTTCTGCAGTCCCGAGTTTTTCTGCAAGCAATGTTTGTCCCGGATTTAGATCTTTTGTCCCGGCGGATTTTCGAAAAGTCTAAATTGAATCTTTGCTATAACTCGATAATAAAATTACAACTACCCATCAAATATTTGAAAATGTTATTTACAACTAGTATGCTTATATAAAAAGGCAGGTTAAAATAGCTTCTCACATTCCTAATTTTGAACTTCTGTTTTCAATATTACGAAAATTAACAAAAATTATGAAAATGGACTGTCTGAAATAATTTCTAAGTATTTTTAAATAGTTACGAAGAATATTGAACAGTATTTTATAATAGGTTTGAAAGCTGAATAAAACATATAGATCCAAAAATATAAAATAAAATATAACATATAACCGAATAATGAAGTTTTTAGTCAATAATTCTGATTTTAAAAAAAATTATTTAAATTAAAAATTACTTAACGAGACAGATTTTTATTGCATTCTTAAATAGTATTTCTTATTTTAAAAACGATTTAAAATTTTTGCATTTACTCCCCCACTCCGTCACGGATTAGCATAACTAAAAATTAACGTCTCGGTTTTAACTTCAAAAAATTTGGTCACTTTAATTCACGATAAAAAATTAAAAATATTCAATACTCGTAATTTTTCAACACTTCAAATAATTTTTTCCATAAAATTTGATAAAATTATAATACTTTTAATCAAACAAAAATGATAATTTTTTAGATATACCATAAAACATGCAAGAATTATATAAGAAAATAAAAATATATTTTTGATATTAAACATTTTTCAACATTTACAAATGAACTATTTGATTAAAACCAAATTTAAAAATAAGTTAAAAGCTAGAAAGGTAAAAACTAAATTAAACAAAATTATAATTAACTTCCCGTAGGGCAAGTCATAGTAATCGCAAAAAAATCGAAAATGAAAATTTTTATATATCTTTACATTTCAGAGGTTTCTGAACATTTTAGCATAACTTAGAAAAAATGGATGTATGTGCGTGTGTTTGTGCGATACAAATTTTCGTGGACGATTTCGTAAACGCGGTTAAAACGATTTCAATTATTCAGAAAACATTCGATTCGTATTGATAAGGAGACGTGCTGATTAGTTTCGGCATAGGCAGGTTTAGCCGTTTCGAAGACACGTGGCAATAGGTGCCAAAAACGGTAACTCAGTTTTTAAGAGAAAGAAGCATCCGATTTTAATAATTCAGAAAACATTTTACTTATGACAAGATGAAAAACTGACTAAGTTTTTGGGAAGGTAAGTCTAGCGATTTCGGAGATCTAGTAAAAAAAAGTGAAAAAAAATGCCATTTTGAGGTCAAAAATGGTCATTAGACATATGCACATCAAATTATCAGATATTTTATAGAGATTTTAACAATAAGTATAAATTTTGTTTACATTCCCATGGGTTCCGTACCAATGTTTATCCGTTAGACAGCGACGCGGCGCTTACACGCTTTATATTTTGTCTCTATGCAGTTAAAGCAGTACGATTGCTTTGAAAAAAAGTTCAGAATTTCCAAACTATGCCAAAATAAGGAAAACTTTTTTTTCAAACATTTTTTTTTTTCAAAAAAGGTAATTTTCTGTCGAATTTATAGTTTCTCAAAAATCTAATTTGTTCGAAGTAATATTTTTTCAAAAATGTTAATCGTTTTTAAAAAAATAATAATTTTTGTACGGGAAGTTCCAGCAATTTGCCTTAAGGCACGATGCCATGTGCCCTACTAGTTCAACATTTACAAATGAACTATTTGATTAAAACCAAATTTAAAAACAAAAATTAAAAGCTTGAAAGGTAAAAATTAAATTAAACAAAATTATAATTTTCATCATTTTAATTCGTTCATATTTTTTACCCAAAACATTTCTGCAAAATACCTTACCGAGCACAACGTCATACACCACTAGTTCCCATCGTACGGTTACGGAACCCTGGCAAACCTCCGAACCAAACCGAACCAAACCGAACCAAACCGAACCTCGTACGCCCCAGTAACGTGCATTACCGTGGCCGCGTGGTGGGGGTAAAGTATCCCGGGATGTTAGTGCTCGCGTACCCCTCGGAGCGTGAACTTCGAACGCATTTCAGTCGCTCGCTGGCCGCCATAGAATGCGGTTGAGTGCGTTCTTGCATACGATCAGACGCCTACAGAGTGCAAAGACCCGTGAACACATAGTAATATAGTATCATATGTGTGACTAATATAATATAATATAATAAGAAGTAGTCGTACGTATTTGAAATCAAATAATGAAGTAAAAAAACGACTATTTTGTGATTATAGTTGTGCAGTTTAATTATGTTAACATTGGTTATTGTGCAATAGATAACAAAAGTGAAATTCTTTCGTGAAGTGTTAGGAAAACTATATCATGATGCTGCTTGAGGTTAGTAATAAGTTTATTCTTTATTACATTTTTGCCTCAATAAAATAATATAAAATGTTTATATATGTCTATTTATTTAAAAAGTGTTATATTTTGTTTATGACAGTTCTGTACTATTTCTTACGCACTATTAAAGTGTATGACAATTCCTCAAAAAGTGCATTAAAACGTTAGTTTGTTCTAGTTGTATTAACTACAATTAATATTTTGACTTTCAGAAGAAGTTTATGTTTTGTCAAAAAATCCGATTTGCTAATTTTAAATTAAATTTTATAAAATAATATAAAATTTTTATATATGTCTATTTATTTAAAAAGTGTTATATTTTTGTTTATGACAGTTCCATACAATTTCTTACGCACTATTAAAGCGTATGACAATTCTTCAAAAAGTGCATTAAAACGTTAGTTTGTTCTAGTTGTATTAACTACAATTAATATTTTGACTTTCCGAAGAAGTTTATGTTTTTGTCAAAAAATCCGATTTGCTAATTTTAAATTAAATTTTATAAAATAATATAAAATTTTTATATATGTCTATTTATTTAAAAAGTGTTATATTTTTGTTTATGACAGTTCCATACAATTTCTTACGCACTATTAAAGCGTATGACAATTCTTCAAAAAGTGCATTAAAACGTTAGTTTGTTCTAGTTGTATTAACTACAATTAATATTTTGACTTTCCGAAGAAGTTTATGTTTTTGTCAAAAAATCCGATTTGCTAATTTTAAATTAAATTTTATAAAATAATATAAAATTTTTATATATGTCTATTTATTTAAAAAGTGTTATATTTTTGTTTATGACAGTTCCATACAATTTCTTACGCACTATTAAAGCGTATGACAATTCTTCAAAAAGTGCATTAAAACGTTAGTTAGTTGTATTAACTACAATTAATATTTTTGACTTTCCCGAAGTAGAAGTTTATGTTTTTGTAAAAAAATCCGATTAGCTAATTTTATGTTTTCTCGACGTTTCAAGCCATTCTGAATCGAATTAGACCAAATTTGGAAAAAGTATTTGTGTGTGTGTGAAAACATTTCCGATCTTTTATCGGCGTTTTCTCAAAAACAGCTGGGCCGATTTCAAAAATTTTAAATCAATTCGAAGTAATTCGACAAGGACTAGTGTTTGTCATTTTTGCGCGACAATCAGCCAAGCCATTTCTTTGTAAATAGCATAAAAGTGATAATTTTTTCGTCCACGTTTTAGCCCGCACTTCTGAATCAATTTTAAACATTTGCAAACTGTTTTAAATATATTGCTTGGGAAAGATACTTATTAGTTTTTGGTAAAGATTCGCTAGCACGTGTTCTTGTAATTAATTGTTATACATTTTTTGATGAAACTTTTTATGTCGATAGATATCATGGTCTTGAAGAACATACTAAAATTTTACGGCCCCACGGCTAGTAGTTTAATTTAAAAAAATCATCAAAATTTGGAAAAATATTATGGTCAAAATTTGTGTCAAAGAAGCTACAGTTTTAGGACAAGCACGTGTCTGTGCAATATAATTAATATAATTATAGATAATTCAAATGTATTTTAGAAAATTCAATTGGAAATCGCAATGTTTAGATTAAATTGAAAGCGAAAACTTTATTATCGAAATAAACCGTTAAAAATTTTATCTAAAGATCTGAATCTCAATTTCGGTAGATTAAGTCAATAATTGCACATGTTGGAAGTTCATGCAACTTGTCTTAAGTCTAAATGCCACTTTCAACTAGCTTTTAAGTAATCAGAAATTTACTATTATTAAGTGTTGGATTGTTATGCAAATATATGTGCATATTAAAGGCCTTTAAATACTTATGATGATCTTTAATATTATATTATTTATAAATACATACTTAAAATATCAAAAATAAAATAAAATTGTCATATATATTTTATTCAGTAAAAGTGTTATATTTTTTAGTTTATATACTACTAAAGCGTATATTTTTTTTAAAAGTGCAATAAACCAATAGAAAGCTGTATTAACTACAATTAATATTTTTTTAAGTAATTGTAATTTTTCAAATAAGTGTCGTGTGATTGTTATGCAAATATATGTGCATATTATAGGCTAGATTTCTAAATACTTAATGAATTTTTGTGTGGGAGACTTTGGCAAGTGAAATAGTAGTATTGCGTTATGTGCATATATTGCTCTGTTTTTATTAATATTTATTTTAATGACATAATTATGTGTGTCATATGGAATATATCGTGAGTAATTGCTCTTAATTAATTTTATTATTTTGGTTGTTATAAAATTAATTTGTTCCTTATTATACCCTAAGGATGGTAATGTTGGTCAGTGTTGACATGACAAATACTGTCAGAGCTGGATTTAAATTCATGCCTCCTGAGGGCCTGACGAAAATTGATTAATTCCCAAAAATAAAAGAAACAAATGATATCTTTTTAGATCCTCATGGAAATAAATTAATAAACTGTTTTTCTAGTTAGTTTTCACTTAATTTCTCAAAATTATAATACACTATGTTTTAATTTGATACATAATGCCTAAATTGCATTTTTGGATATAAAAAGCGTTATTAAGAAGAATGAGTTAATTATATTGTGAATTTTTTTTTCACTTTCCAAATTTTGCTGTGGCCACTAGCCCCTATTGCCCCTACTCAATATTGTGCAAAGACCACTCAAATATTATGTTATGTTTGATATATTAATTCTTGGTAAATTAAAGTTTTTTTTATCTAAATTATATTGTATATACCTCTATCAATTATTACTTTTTTAATAATGTTTTTATTAGCCAAAAAGATAAAAACTGTTATGAAAACGTTCGTTGACCTTGAGTTTATCCATTTCATACACACTACCTGATTTTTTTGTCCAAATACAGTTTTACGTGATTTTTTATGCTTACAACAATAACAAAGGAACTTGGGTCTTAAAAAATGCGTGTAGAGTGATTTAACCTTGGCAAATGCGTTGCTTCGTGATGAGTTACATTAAAAATTTAATTGTGTGCATAATTCATGTCTAAAAGTCATATTTTTTGCTTTGATTTAGATTTCAAATGGTGATACATGTGCATTAGACAAACTTGTGTCGATGCAATTTATTATATACATTTTTTCATATTCTCATTTTTAACAGCATGTTTTTATACTCTCATTTTTAATAGCAATCTGAACTTCCGTCATATGAGCTGATGTGCTCGAACTTCTTTTAAACCAGTACTTAAATGGCAGCCCAAAGGTTAACCCAGTGGTTTCCAATCTTTTCCTACCGCGCCTCCCGCCTGTCATGTTTTTTCAAAACATTGTTGTGCGCTCCCCATAACTTTTTAATATTATAATTTCATCAATATACGATTGATACTTCAATTTTATCAAACTGCATATTATTATACAATTTTATGTAAAAGTATACATAAAAATAATTTTATTCATTCATTTTTTATATAATTTCAACATTTTTGGTTTATTTACGAAAAGAGTACATATTTTGTATTTCTCTCTGAGGAGGCGCGTCCCACAGGTTGGAAATCATAAGAGTTAACCCATTTATATATGCTAGTTTTCTTTATTATTAGAATTTATTCAACATTTCTAATCTATTTATTCATTATATAACTTAAATAGATTATTCATAAAACAAACCTCGTATTAATAATTTTATTTATTAAAATTGTCTTTAATGTAACAAGATTTTTGTGTTATACTAATTTTATCTTATACTTGTTGTTTAGTAAATTTTTATGTATATCAGATTGATATTTGTTGACATGATACACTGATTAGTTACGAAGATAAGTACCACATGTGAAATTTTCAGAACTCTCATTTCATGATTAGTTCAGAGGAAATTTTTTACATACGGAGAATTATAATTTTACGAATCGATATGGCAAACTTAATCACATATATTGTTTCTTAAAAAAAATATATAAAAAATAAAAATATTATAGAGAATATTATAAAAAATAAGCGTAACAAATTACTATCATGTTCTTTCTAAAATTTTTAGAAGAGCAAAAATAAAAATGGCATCATCTTGATAAAAATTACATCAAATTTATAAAATGGTATAAAACTACCAAAAAAATATAAAGTTCATAAAATTACTTAAATTTGATAGTAATAATTAGAAAAATGCCATTAGATTTATGAAAAAATCATCAAACCCATAAACATTTTATGAACTTCAGTATGGTAAAATCAATTTTGCAGAAATAGTCAAAAAAATGGCATGAATATAATAAAATTGGCATTAACTTAATAAAGGTACATAAAATAAAATATTTTTTTAAAAAATGGTATAAATTTTAGAAAGATGATTTTCACAAAAATCAGGAGAATGACAAATTTCATAAATCTCAAAAGTCTGTTTAATAAAAATTACATAAAATGCCATGAATTTTATAAAATTGGTATAGATTTAAGAGAGTCATTCATATAATATTCGAATGTTGATTTTATATTTAAACTTTATGCTAAATAACCTCCAGTGGTTTCGTGGTTAGAGGTAGGGGACTTTAATCGGAAGTTCCAGGTGCAATCGATACCCGCCTCCAACAGCTGATGTCAAGCAGTAGTGACATCAGTTTTCACTTGACATCATCGATTTATAGATAGAAATATATTTCCAAGTGAAAATAGCCCTTCTCTGGTTTTGTTTTAATAAAGAATTGTAATAATAAATTTATATAATAGAGCAGCCAACCGTTGGCTTGCTTTCTGGTAGGCAAAATAGTTCAGTTGTGATCGCTATTCAAATCAAATAAAAATATGTATATTAAAATGTTATATATTTTTATAAATATACAACTAAAAGTTGAACGAATAATTACATTTTGTTCAAATATTCACTTTTTTATATTTTTATTTTAATACCTCGAAAAGAAATCATGTTTTTTACCTTTGTAGGTACATCCTCTTTGGGAAAGAGAAAACAAACGAAACGATAAAAAGTTTTGTCCCGTCTCGCTTTATTATTGTTGTGGTTACGTGCTTTCGTTTCCGCTTATCGAAAG